ATTATTTTATACATACTGTACATACATACCTACACACACACACACATATTTTAAGGGGGCAGGAGAAGTCTATCTAAGTAGAAATACGTGTGGACAATGCAATTAGGTTTATATATACCTATCTATGTAACACAAAAATGAAGTTAATTTAAAAAAGAACGATCTTTCAATCTTTTCTTGGATGTGTTAGAGGAGGAAGGCAGAAGGGCTGTTAACACTGCAGATGGGGCAAGCTTGTTTTCTGTAGCTCTAGTGCATAGGACGCAAAATGAGAGATTCAAATTATGGAAAAGGAGATTTTGCCTAAACATGAGGAAGAACATCTTTAGAACAAGAGCTGTTTTACAGTGAAATGACATGCCCCAGAGAGTGGTAGACTCTTCTTCATTGGAGTTTTTTTAGAAAAAGGTTAGAGCATCACCTGTCCTCCAAGAAGGGCTCTGCACTCAATGCCCTTGAGGATTCCTTCCAGCTTCACAGCTGGAAGGGGAATGTGCAAGATTGAAGTTCGCTTGGCCCATTCTCATAAAGATAAGCCATTACATCCATACACAGTCAAATATTTGTACCTAAATTGCTCGGATTATGTTTCTCATAAAAATCAGTGGAGCATTTGAACACTGATTTAAAGCAAGATAAACACTGTTTACATTGTTTATTTTTTATACCTCAACTGTCTACAGTTCTTGTATGGTTTTGGAAGAGGTAGCCGTGTTAGTCTGTGCAAGCATATCAGGCAAAATCCAAAGAAACAAAATAAGACAAAAACACATGGCACTTTAAAGACTAAAGCTCACATTAAAGTATAATAATTCTTTAAGGTGACATATGCTTTTGTCTTGTTTTGTTATGTTTCTTTTGATTTTGCACTGTAAAACAGCTCTTTTATAGTCACTCGAAACAGCATTAAAAAACCTAAAAATATGTAGATGTACTTTGAGAAGTACTTTGTTCACTAGAAAATCCTACAGAGGTGGTAAACTAACCCATTTTCTCTACAGGTATGGTGAAATGACCAGTGTTGCCAAGGTAATGTATTTTTCTTTGAAGAACTTTTTTAAAAGCTGCTCTTGAGGTATTCATCCTACTGATTATGTTGCATTTTGATTTTCATAGCTTTACCCCTTCTATGCCAACAAATCCCCATTTTTAGTGGATAAATTCCACGAATACTTCCTTGGTGGTGTTGATGATATGGCATCCTCATCAAATACCATTTTCCAACTAACGAGTCAGATGTTAACAAATGGAAGCAGGTGAGTTGCTGGTTTAATATATTTGGGGGTAAAGCGTACAGTAAATGTGCTGTGATAAGAACTGAATTAGATGAGCATGTTTTATCTAAGAACTTTGATCCAGATAGATTGTGAATTGACTTGTAAACAGACTAATCATTTACATTTAATAGCAAGTTTGTAGCATTTAAGTGTTTGTTTTTAGTTTGCAGATTATGTCTGAGAAACTAAAGACAAAGGAGTGGAAGAAGGTGGTTACTTTTTTTGTAATTGTTATTTGATAGATGTAATTACTTTGATATATTTCCTTTAGTGGCTGCTTTATTCCTGAGAATCCTTTGTATATACATTGTAAAAATAAACCGAGGAATGCTATTGCGTAAGTAAAAATTTCATGTTTTAAACATCATGATCTGAATATGTGTAATATTGGCCAGAATCCTGTTACTTATGCCTACATAAGTCAAGCATATAACTGCATTTCCCGTAACATGCCAAGTTGACAGATCTGCTTTGGAATCCTGCACTGAGTGGGGGTTGGACTCAATGGCCTTATAGGCCCCTTTGAGTTGGAATCATCTTCCTTGATTCTATGATTCTGTGAGAAACAGAAGTCTTAACTTCTTAGCAAGAGCAAATTGCCACAGTAGTTTACACGATTTGACTTAATGTCAGCAGATGTTAAGTAATAAGTTTCAGGGCACAGTCTATGATCATTCAGATTTAAGAGAGCAACATCTTTAGTCTGAATTTTGAGGCATTTGAGTTATGATTCTTTTTTGTAAATGGCTGACAAGACTGAATACCCTTTGAGTCAAATCTGGCTCTCCTGAAATAAATGAGAGAATTAACTTTTCTCGAATTAGAAGTTTCTCCCTGGATCTCTACAAGACTTTTTCTTATACAGCAAATGAAAATAGATTTTTCTATGTTGTTCGTATAAAATCTACCTTTCTCCATAAAATGCTGCTGTAAACTTATCAATACAGCACAAAACAAGGAGTTTGTTTCATGAAAACAAAAACAGAAAACCCAAAGATAAAAAATTCCAGACCTCCACAGGATAAATATTTGATTAAAAATACAAAACTAAATCCATCAAAAGTTCAAATGTAAAAGTACTTAACATGCAGGATTGTTAAGAATAGTCACAATACAAATTCAGGATATCTCTGTAGGGAAAGACTTACTAAGACCGCGGTCACACGAGCAAAATGTTTCCGTGTTACTCCTGATGAGTTTGACCTCTTTTTCTGGTTCAGCCGATGCACAGCCATTATCAATTCTTTTGTTCCCTCTCTATACTATCTCTGCATCAAATCCATCCCGCTGGGAGTCTACTACGATATTTGTTCCACATTTTACAACCGGTGCAGTACAATCAACATTCCATAAAGCGTGTACTACAAAACTGATTCAATTCCTTTACATCTGGCATGTGGCCCCACCACCATGACAAACTCCCTTAATTTTTAAACAGATAATTTTCAAACGGGAATGTCAGCGCATTGATATGCTTCTGTCAAAAGGGCTGTGGGTTCTTTGCCATTGAGGGTGATGCAGTGCAGAAACAGGAAAAAAACATGCTCCAGATGAATATATGGCCAGCAAGGTAGTTTTGCCAACATACCGACGTACCCACACAAAATTTTTAAAAAGGTGAAGGAAAGGAGCAGAGAATACACAAAAAGAGGAAGGTATATGATCCACTGCAGAGGTGTAGATGAACATATCACATCTAATTTAACTAAAATGTGAGAAATGGTCAAAAATGTGATCTAAGTTACGTGACTGCAATGTGCAATTCTACAAGGAAGCAGCCTCAGTTGATTGTAATTAATTGACTTTCTTTTCTATAGTCCTTTGATCTCATTCAGTGGACTTATTTGTAGGTTTGTTGTTATGCAAATTAAATGTTATGTATGTAAAGTCTATAATAATTACAATAAATTAAATTAAAAATAAATGCTTTAAAAATTAAGATGTTTTTCAGTTTTGTGTTGCAGCAAAATACATATTACACTGCTGCTTTTGAAATAAATTTTGTCAGTGACACTTTTTCCATTTTTATAGTCCCATAATAATTTCCTGGTTATTACTGTCTTAATTCAGTAGGATCAAACAGTCCAGACGAGGACACACCAAGAATGTAACTTCTTCCCTGGACAAATCAGTTGAAAAGAAGATCAACTATACAGAGAGAGGAGTTTATTTTGATGCCCCATCTTGGGCAACTGTAAGTCTGTGTGGCATCCAGATATTAGTGATAAGAAGCAGAGAAATGGTTGTGGGAACATATTGATAATACAGTGACTTGTTTATTAGGTATGAGCACCGATTGTGCATATTTTGTACTTGGAAAAATTACATCTTTTAACTAGTTTTGTTTTGTTTTGTTCTATTAAAATGTTGAAGGCATTTTGAATGAGGATGTTGAGGAGGGTAATGATGAGAATAATAATGACAGTAATAATACAAGAACTTGGCTAGGCTACATGGATTCCAGCAATGTCCCCCATGGTTTTTCAGAAGCGAATGGGAGAACTCATGCTGAGGTTTAGGTTAAGCATCATTAACATGCAGAAGATCTGCAACTTTGCCTCATGAATACTTCAGATAGTCCCAGGGAAGCTGTGGAAATCTTGAAAACATAGTTTGGAATGGATGAGGGAAACAAAATGGGTGGATTATATTGGACAGAGTATGTGGGAATTGAAGCAGAACATAGACATTGGCTTGAATCCCATTGATGATTACAGCTAAAGCAGACCCAGGCAAATTAGTAAATCAGTGGGATTTCTATAACTTTTGATTCACCATTCAGCAATTGATTCAGTGGGTCTATTCTCGCTGGAATTACCAATTGGTGTTAAGATTGGTTGCTCCATTGTGCATTTCAATAGATCAAGGTCCATTTTTATTTTATATTTTTTTATTATTGCTGTTGTTTTAAACATTATTTTAAATCTTGCTGTTGTTTTATGCTGATGTTCTAGCTATGTTTGCCTTAGAGGTCAGTATGAAAATATTTTAAGTAAATGAGTTGTGTAGAAACAGATACACCTTGGACAGCCCCTTTCATTATACTGAGGTTTTCACAAGAGAGATATTGTGTACATGGTACCAAATAATGGAGGTCTCCACTAGCTCAGCAACCATCAAATGACTAGAGCGTTAACCTGTCTCTTTATTTCCACATATATTTTTAGAACTTTCTTCAGTTCAGCAGTAGTGCCACTACAAAGACTTTGTGGAATGTGCTGACGGTCACACAGCAGCAATCTTCTAACTACATTACCAAGCCCACGGCTTCCTACTTTCTGCTTACTCCGTATGCTAAACTTGGATGGTGAGTGCTGATTGTTTGGTAGTTTGCTTGATAGAACATCTTCAGTAGCCATACTAGGATATCTAGAAACAACCACATTTCATTTGTTTATATACTTATTAAGATTCTTCACAGATAAGATACTTTGATAATTATTTTTCAGTCTAATTGATGTGCAATATACAGCTGTATTCCATATTTGGTTTTAGCAAGTATGTCATTTATCAACAAAGCCACAGAATATTTATTTATTTATTTATTTATTTATTTATTCATTCATTCATTCATTCATTCATTCATTCATTCATTCATTCATTCTATTTAATTGGATTTTCATGTACGATGATTTAGACTTGTTTTAGATAGTTTTCCTTCGATGTCACTTTCATGTAGGAAAACCAACTGTATATAATGACATTTTCCCTGCAGTATGCTGTAACATGACAAACTCACATTTTTAATGTATTTCCTCCTATATGGAAACTCTGTAAAATATTAAACATGTCCCTGTATTTCCTTTTGCATGTGAGGAAGGGGCTACAGAACACATGAAAACACATACAGTGGTGCCTCGCTTGACGATTATCTCGTTAGACAAGGAAATTGCTTGACGATGAAGTTTTTGCGATTGCTTTTGCGATCTCAAAACAATGTCTTAATAGGCAAAAATCGCTTAACGATTGGTCGCGATTGCTTTTGCGATCGCAAAACAATGTCTTAATAGGCAAAAAATTTTTGCTTAATGGTGATCTTTACATCTGATTGTCGGGTCTTCAAAATGGCCACCCGCTGTTTAAAATGGCTCCCTGCTGTGTTTTAGGACAGATTCCTCACTTTACAGGCACCAAAAATGGCCACCCTATGGAAGATCTTTGCTGGACGCTGAGGTATTTCGCCCATTGGAACGCATTGAACCGGGTTTTCAATGCATTTCAATGGGCTTTTTTGTTTTGCTTGACGAGGATTTCACTTAACAGCAATTTGAATGGAACGAATTATCCTTGTCAAGCAAGGCACCACTGTATACTAAATATGACATTAAGATATACCAAGAACACAGAGTTCTAACTCGTGTTCTCTGAAGATGCCGCCACAGAGACTGGCGAAATGTTAGGAAGAAAAACTCCAGAACATGGCCAAATAGCCCGAAAAACCTTCAACAACTATCCCAAGATTATTTTTTTGGTTTATGCTGCTGCAAACTAACATAGGTGCCTCCAGTATGTTTAAAATACCATGGCATGTGTTCCTTACTCATAGTTTTTCCACACAGAAGTGCAGGAAATCATCTTGTTTGAAACAGCTTTTATCTCCAGTGGGACTGATTGAACTTACTGGGTTTATGGTTTCAATCCTATATACTATTTGGAAATAGTGTAAGATTGCACTCTAAAATACTAGAACTATTTGGTAAAGTCAACCATCTGGAAACTTAGGGAATTATATTATACTGACCACCAGGGCATGGACTGAAGCCAACATCTGATAGCTTGATAGCCTAATTAATTATTTGATAGCCTAATTAATTTTGTTTCATGAATGTGCCACACCATCATACACAAATGAGCATTCATTTAAATGCAGTGCCCTTATGTATTAATATCAGATGAAGAGTGTCAACTCTGACAGAGAAAAACTTTTTCCGATAGAGAAAAAAATGCTGAAGATCAAGAATATAAGCTGTATAAAAAGAGAAAATTATTTTATTTGCTCTCCAGGGCAATGACGTCAGCTGATTTAAACCAGGATGGCTATGATGATCTAGTAGTTGGAGCACCAGGATATAGCCAACTGGGACGCATTCAGACAGGACGTGTATATATTGTGTATGGTAATCAGTCAGGTTTGCCTCGTGGAGATTTGGATCTAGACCAGGAAGCAGATGAAATCCTAGAGGGAAGTAAGGTAAGAAAACAAGTCAGATGTTGGGCATTGAAAATGCTTAGTTTGTGTTTCAGGTCAGTTATGTCCAGTCCCATTTTGTTAGTGTAAATTAGCAGAGCTTTTGTCCCAGTCCAGGCAGTCCAATTGATCACACAAACACAGGCAGCTTCTTCCAACACCAAATCCTTCCAACAGCTCTATCCTTTACCCCTCCTGGGATCTGAATGGCAGGACTCTCACCTTTCTGGACTGGTTCCTCTTGCCTCTGTGGTACCCTCTGGCACCCACCGGCTTCTCTGGCGCAAGGCAGACGTCTCTGGGCCCATAACCCCTTGTTGGCGTAAAGTTAGCAGAACTTTTGTCTCAGTCCAGGAAGTCCAATTGACCACACAAACACAGACAGCTTCTTCTAACACCAAAATGTATGTACAGTATATACAACAGTACAAACCAGCAGCATGACAGCATGACATCCAAAGAAGAGATCCATACTTCTTCTGTACATGTCCATACATATATATACACACATACATATTTGCATACAACCAATCATTGTGGACATTGCATCATCCTGCATGACTCGGCATTCTGCACCTCTGTGAAATATGGCTTCTGATTACCACTTGTTCTGTCTCAGGTTGGAAATTATCCTTGACACATTTGTTCTTTTCTACCAGCAGTGCCAGTAATTTAGTTTCTGGGAGAAGTTGGGTTTAAGTATTCTTTAAAAAGCAAAATGAAACATACATTGTAACTACATGGTGGGGAATGTTTCATTCTTAAAGTGTTTTGGGCTATAGGTTTCACAGTGCCTTATTAGTAGTCATACTTTCTGGAAGGCCTAGAAGGTGAGGCCCAGATGCTGTCCCTTCCTGCTCTGTTAACTGATGATCAAATCAAATGAGGATTCTTTTGTTGATATAAGTTTGAGACCCATGTTTGATGTAACATATTGACTGAAATCCTGTTGCTTAGTATAGTAAGTTGCAACGATAGTAGGCCCTTGAAGTAGTGTGGATTTGTTAGGTCACCTTCTCTGTAAGTTCCATGGATTCAGTGCACCTCCTCTAATTATAATTTACTGCATTTCAGCCACTGGTGTTCACGTGAGGTTTGCAAAATTTGCCATGGCAAATTGTGACTAATTGACAGTGTGCCAAACCAACTGAATTCCAGCTGTAGTAATGTTTGGTCATTGTTTTTTGTGTCAAAACTTTCGTACATTTTCAAGTTGGAAAGTATTCAAAAGTTACACATCACTTTTGACAGCATTTTAAAAGCATTTTATAGAAATAAAATAAAAACATATCCTAGTGAATTTTAATTGCTGTGGATATAATCATAGCGTTTCTTTCTATTTCAGTCTCCAAATGAGATGAGAACCAGGGATATGTTGTAACAGTAGGCTGAGTCGGGAGGGGCAGTATCACTAAGTAAGGACAACAGAGGACTCTCGAAGAGAGGATGGAAGTAATGATTGTGGGACAGGGAAGGAACATTGTTGAGAAAGAAGGAAGAATAGTGAAAACCTATAGTATCAGTTATATGAAAATTTTAATATGCAGTTCAGGTTAAGAACTTTATTTACATGTGCTGGCTTTGCTCCTAATAATTAAATACGATAGACAAAAAATAATATAATTTTATTCATTTATGGCCTTATTTTTAGCATTCAGGCGCACGGACTCAAAACGTGACAGCAAGCTGAGTAAGATGCCCTCAAGAGCTCTTCCAGATGTAGCACTGGTTCTCCTTAAGCACTGGGGTCTTCATTGAAGCTCTCAGTGCTATCCCAGTAGCCATATGACATTTTTCTTCTCTTGCTCTGCTCTGTGCTTTCCCCCATACCCTTCTTTCATTTATCCTGAAACCATGGTTTATTTTTCAGTATTGCTTTGTGCCGGGAGTGATGGGTAGTCTTTCAGTATGGTGCAGGAGTATTCAAAACATGGCTGGACAGGAAAGGCAGCAGTGAGTAAAGGGAGAACAGGAAAGCCAGAGGGAGCAAAAGAGGGCACTTCATCTCAAGCCATTCTGTTGGAGAGGCCAGGCTTGGGAGACAGAGAGAGCTGAAGATGCAATTGGGGTGGGGGAGCAACGATGCCATTTCCACTGATGCAAGGTCAAGGAGGACGATGGGGTGGCCTTCTTAATGACAGACGAGGAGGATGCTTGGGAGGGTCAGAGAACTCTCGACAAAGGGGTGCAGGGAGTGAAATAGCAACAGGTTTTTAAGGAAGGAGGAGTGCTTATTCTGGCCCTGGGTGAGTCAGGGAGAAAGGCTGAGTAGACTCGGGGGAGGGAAGCTTAGAGGAGGTGAAAAAAAGGATGAATCTGAAAGCAGGCAGAAGGGTAAAGAAAGGCATGCAGGTCACAAAACAGCTGTTGATTTCTGTCACCGTGCCTTGAGAAAGGGGGTGAAATGGTGCAGGGAAAAGTGGCATTCTGGAGGACCCCCTAAGCTGCAAACGGACTGCATTCTAGTTATCCCAGAAAGAATATGACAGCCAAACAGAAGCAGACCAAAAACAAAACAAAACAAATCCTTGGTTTCTGCCTGTTTACTTTCTGAGCAGCTGTTTGATATCTAATTACTGAACATGCTTTTTGACTATTCCTTGTGGACGGGAAGAGGTTGGGAAAAGAGAAGAGAATAAGAGAAACAGTTTTGGAAATATGGCACCTGCTTCTCCCTGACACAAATCTTACTGCTTAGTACAGTCAAAATAGATATACTGTACCTTACATGATGAGTCATGCCAGAAAGAGTAGGGGAGGATTTTATTCTTCCAATAGTGATGAATAGGTCCACTGGTGAACTACATTTTCAGAAATGTAGGAGTGGGTGATAACTTTTATTGGACCATTAAAAAATCAAACGGATTGCAAGCTTTCATGGAGGAATTCTACTTCAGGCTAAGCACCTTCATGGATAATGCAGAAAAATTGTAGACAAGAGTCCAAAAATGGAAGGTGGATGTCTAAAAGGATTTAGTGGTCTCTGTAGTCAATAATTCTGACCCAAAGAAGCAGAATTTAACAGCTAGTATTTTATGTAGCTTTTAAATATAATAAACAGACATTATCTTTTGTAAATCAGTGCTTGATGAATTAATATACCTTGAAAGAATTGTCAGCTTACAGCTTGCTTTTGTAAAAATGAACAGTTATTTCCTTCCCCCTGTCCTTTCTTTTGGAAAAACAAAAGACATTATCTGAGCTAGTATCCTTTAAAAGGACAAGATTATACTTTAAAAGTGGCTAGTCTGAAAAATGACACACCGTGTCGCCTTTTAAGATTTCAGGAAGGTTTGGTTCTGCCATAGCAGTGCTGGATTTCAATGAGGATGGAGTACTGGACCTTGTAGTGGGAGCACCATCTGTAGGATCACAGCAGCTCAGTTATATGGTAAGAATTTATAGGATCAGATCCTATTTTAAGTCAAGTATTCCTCTCTCTTACATTGTTTTCCCTCTGACAATGCAAATCTTTCAGTGCTGTCCGTGGGCAGCTTGAGGCAGGAACCAAGTCACTGCCTCGCTCCCCCCACCGAAAGAGGCAGTCACTCTGCCTCAGTTGACCATTAAACCTTTCCTGGCTGCAGTGGTGGTGGGGTGAGTGGGTGCCTTGTTACTGCTTTTTGTTTCTTTCTCTTCCAATGGAGGAGGAGGAGGAAAAGGAAGGAGAAAAAGGCAGCAACAAGGCATCCCACACTGTGTGAGAAGAACAAAGATGTGGAAAGATAAAAACAAATAGTTGGGGCAGTGGAAAGGAGCAGGCAGCAATGACAGTGGTAGCCCAAGCTCACTTGGATGCACATGCATGTGTCCCGTTGGCCACCTTTTCATTATACAAGGCTGCTCCTTTTCGCTCTCTCCCCACCTTTTCATTATACAAGGCTGCTCCTTCTCGCTCTCTCCCTCTCCAAGGGTACCAAGCACCATGGGCAAGGGGCCACCAGGGCCGCTACTGCTGTCACCTTTTCATTATACAAGGCTGCTCCTTCTCGCTCTCTCCCTCTCCAAGGGTACCAAGCACCATGGGCAAGGGGCCACCAGGGCCACTACTGCTGCCTGCTGTTACCTACTGCCCTCACTTGTCTTCACTTCCTCACTGTTCAGCTTTAGCTTGGGGTAGTTGTGGAGAGCTTGCTGCTGCCTTCCTCTTCCTCGCTGCTTCCTGGTACAGCAGAAGGGGCAGGAAATGTCTGTTTTCTAAATAGAGGAGAGCAGCTGGTTGCCCTGATGCTCTCCATAAGGCATCCTGGAGAGGTGGTAGGGGATGGAGCAGTGGGTGTCTCACTGAGGTTCATGGTAGGACCAACCCTCGTGCTACATACCCAGGATGTTGGATACACAGACAAAGCTGTGCAGTTTCTCAGCTGCTCAATTACAAAACAAGAACAAGCCAGTTTGTCAAAGGCAGACCGAGGGGGCTCATATTTGAATAAAATTAATAGTCTTTTCCTCTTAAGAGTAAGCTGCTTCTAGATTTGAGGCTGTTGTTTAATGAGGCACACAAATGTAGCACAGGTAAGCTTGTAATATAGATTTCAATAGATATGGGTACATTAAAAAGCTGTACTTTTTGGTACTGCCCAAAATGAGGTAAGACAGGAAAAATATGCATCATCTGACTGATAGTTTTAGGACCAGTTTTTGTGTGTGCCAGTGCTCTAAATGTTAAATTGATTGATTAGATTATTCTGGAATGCAATTCTGTGGCAGGATACATATTTTAACATGGTGATGAAAAGCTGAGGTAAATATGAATGCAATGCTTTAACATAAAGTACTATGGTTTGGATTTATACCCTACTGAAATGTTGTTTTCTGTTACTTTAGGGTGCTGTGTATGTGTTTTTTGGCAATAGAGGAGCGGCCTACCATAGCTTTCCAAATGTTACCATTGTTTGTCAAGTAAGTTTGCTAGAAAAAGATGGTACCTTTAAACCAACAATTAATGTTTGCCTCAATTAAGCATACCCAAAGTTAACATCCTGTCAATTAAGAGACATTTTATTTGGGCAGAAACAAAGGGAAAACTTTACTTGCTTACCATATCTCTGGGTGAAGTCAGTCTTATGAAGGCACTCACATGTTTTGGAGGATGACAACAAAAGGCTGATATGGATTGGCTCAACTCTTGGGGATCTCTAGTCATTAAAATCCAGAAAATGATCCAGACATAATATTGGTCTGATTCTGTTCCATTGTTTGGCAGTTTATTTTTTGTGAGTTCACTATGAACTGGTATATATTGTTTAATGCAGTTCTAGTGGAGGTGTCCAGGTCCTCTAAAATCTGGGTACGTGGGAATGATTTCCGTGGTACTTCTTGGTAATTGCACTGAGTGATCCTGCAGAATTTCATCTTATTTTCCACTCCTTATTAGTATCACTAGTGGGTAAATTACGGCTCACGAGATGTTGTGGGACTTGTTCTCATCAAACATCACCATCTTAGCCCATCATGAAAGATGATAGGAGCTGCAATCTAGCGATTTATAGACATCTGCTCATCTTCCCTAACCTAAATGAAGCCACTGGGCTGGGGGATTTGCAGGTGCTGAACCTGTCTGGATGAGGGGCAAGAAAAAAAAAGGATGACTCTTGACAGGGCTAAGCATTCTCATGTTCAGCTTTGAGTGTTTAACCTGTTCTAGAAGGCCTTGCACTCTCCAGAAAAGGGCAGGTGTCTACCTCTCGATCCAGTATTGTCCCTTGAGGCCATCTTCACATATCCTTTGCCAACTACAAAATTCCTGGCAACAGATAGTCTAGCCACAGTAGTTCATACACAGGCATCTTCATTTGCTTATGAGTCATAATCTTGTGTTAGTAGAAGATGTAACAATTAGGTTTTGCCACTGATACAGCCAGGCAGCCTCTGGTGATTTCTGATTCATAACCAAATCTATTGAAAATAGATTTTCAAAACCAAGAAATTCTGTTCACTTCTGAGCCCAATTCAGGGTGCTGATACTTACCTTTAAAACCCTGTGCAGCTTGAGACCCACATCTCTGAAGGATTATAGCTTCCCAATTTCAGACTTAAAATCATCAGGGCATGTTCTTTTCCAAGGAATCAAAATACAGCGTGTGAAAACAAGGACGAGAACCTTCTCTGTCTTGCTGTCCCAGTTGTGGAACACCTTTCTTGTGGAATCTGTATCTGATTATTTTATATGAAACTTATTTCCTGGCCAACCTCTAAAAAAGCCCAATAGGGAATCTTACTGGTGTATTACTGTGAATTGGTAGCTGCCACTACCTCCCCCCCACTCCATCCATCCAAGATGAAAGAAACCCCTACTTGCTCCCACTGATGGGAATAATTCTCTTTGTGGGATATGTTCTCTTCCCTCAGTCTGGGAAGTGCAAAACACAGAAGAAAAGAACAAAACAAAAGAATTCCAAGCCTTATAGCTTGGTTTCCC